CTACAGAATTTGAGAGTACACTCAAAGAGGATTCTGTTGTGTTTGTCATGGTCGTCATGGAGGTTCCATTGGAATCTCCAATATTGACCCCTAATGAGGTCAGTCGGCTCTTCAAGAGTTTTGATATGTCTTTCCTGAAGACTTCTCTGATCTATTGTCCCCTTTATGGGACATTCAACATACTATAGATCTTATCCCTGGATCATCTCTTCAAAATTTACTTCATTATAGAATGAATCCTACTGAGCATGTTGAGCTTCAAAGGCAAGTAGAAGAGCTCCTTCACAAAGGATTTATTCGTGAGAGTGTAAGTGCTTGTGCGATTCCCGCCCTTTTGACTCCTAAGAAAGATGGTTCTTGGAAAATGTGTGTTGATAATCGTGTCATCAATAAGATCACAGTGAAGTACCGTTTTCCAATCCCTAGGTTTGATGATATGTTGGACATGATGTTTAGTGCCACGATATTTTCTAAGATTGATTTAAAGAGTGGTACCAACAAATTAGGATTCGCTCGGATGACGAATGGAAGACTGCCTTTAAAACGAATGATGGTCTTTATAAGTGGTTGGTCATGCCTTTTGGGCTAACCAATGCCCCGAGTACTTTTATGAGAGTAATGACACAAGCTTTGCAACCATTCATGGGTAAATTCCTCATTGTTTACTTTGATAACATTCTCGTGTACAGTAAAACTAAGGAACAACATAGAGATCATCTCACACAGGTTTGTTCTACACTTTGTGCTACAAGCCTGTATGCTAATGTGAAGAAATGTTCTTTCTTCACAGATAAAGTTATCTTTCTAGGTTCTATTGTCTCCACGACGGGAGTGTCTGTTGACCTTGCAAAGATTCAGACCATTGTTGGTTGGCCTGAGCCCAAGACTATACATGACGTTCGGAGTTTTCATGGTTTAGCTACATTTTATCGTCGTTTCATTAAAGGGCTTAGCACGATCATGGCTCCTATTACGGAGTGCATGAAAAGAGGGAAATTTTACTGGTTGCACGAAGAAGCCAAATCATTTAAGTTGGTTAAGAGGCGAATGACAGAAGCTCCGGTTATGTGACTTCCCGATTTTTTCAAAGTTTTTCAGGTAGAATGTGATGCCTTTGGGGTAGGGATAGGTGGAGTTTTGAGCCAAGAGGGCCACCCTATTGCTTATTTCAGTGAGAAATTAAATGATGCCAAACGACGATACTCGACTTATGACAAGGAGTTGTATGCAGTCGTACAAGCTTTACACTATTGGCATCATTACTTATTGCCCCAGGAATTTATTCTTTATTTGGACTGTAAGGCACTTTGCTACCTTAATTCCCAAAACAGGTTGAATGCTAGGCATGGTCATGGATAGAGTATTTGCAGGCCTACTCTTTTGTTTTGAAGCATAAAAAAGACAATGAAAATCAAGCGACAGATGCTTTAAGTCGTCGCATTTCACTTTTAACCAATATAAGTTTCAAGGTCATAGGTTTTGAATGACTCAAAGAAGATTATGAGTCATATCCCGATTTTAAGGACATTTTTCCTTGCGTTGCAAAGTGGACAATTGGATGGTATTGATAGCTTTTGTCTAGAAGATAGTTATCTTTTTAGGTCCAATAAATTGTGCATCCCTCGGACTTCAGTACGAGACTTTATAGTTTGGGAAAGTCATGCGGGAGGCTTGGCACGACATTTTGGATGTAATAAGACAATCAAAGAAGTTGAACGTCAATTTTATTGGCCTCGTTTGAAAACAGATGTAGCTAAGATAGTTAGAGCTTGTAACACCTGTCAGTTGGCCAAACAGAAGAGACAAAACACTGGTCTTTACACATATCTTCTTGTCTCTAGTTGTTCTTGGCAAGATGTCAGTATGGATTTTATATTAGGACTCCCACGTACTTCAAAGAAACATGATTCTATTTTTGTTATAGTGGATCGTTTTTTGAAAATGGCCCATTTTATCCCTTGTAGCAAGACTTCAGATGCGTCTAAGGTTGCTAGACTGTCCTTTAATGAGATTGTTAAATTGTATGGCCTTCTTAAGACCATTGTGTCGGATACGGATGTTCGGTTCACTAGCCACTTCTAGAGAACCTTATGGCACATGGTTGGCACTAAGTTGAAATTTTCTACTGCGTACTATTCTCAGACTGATGGTCAAACTTAAGTTGTTAATTGTAGTCTTGGTAACCTATTAAGGTGTCTAGTTCGAGAAAATATGAGGAACTGGGATTTAATCCTCCCAATGATCCAAATTGCATATAACAGTTCTGTGAATGGGTCATTAAGCATGAGTCCTTTTGAAGTTGTTCATTGTTATAAATCCAGGAAGACTTTAGAACTTATCCCTATATCCCCACATGCTAATATGTCTGTCTCAGTTGAGGCTTTTGTACAACATCTTCATGACTTGCATACTGAGATCAATAAACAACTTGAAGCAAGTAATGCATTATATAAATCTCGAACTGATTGGCATAAACAACATTTTGAATTTAACATTAGGGATTATGTTAAACTGCAAGCCCGTAATACTGGTCCTTTTAAAATTTCAAAGCATGTTGGTCCAAGTGCATATGTCAATGATCTTTCATCACATATGACCACCAACCTATTTTAATTGTTGAGGATTTCGACGCTTACAAAGGCTATTTTAACACTTTTGACGATCATTTTCTATCTCCACCTGGGAACTCTCACATTGAATCTTTTGCTATGTCCATTCAAATACTACCTATCACAGCATGCAATGACAAAATTGATGTCATTTTAGATGAACGGATTGTGTTGACTAATGATAGAGAGATTCGGTGCTTTTTTGTTCATTGGGTGGATCAACCTGAGTCTGATTCTATATTGATTGTCAGAGCGACGCTCCAACAAATCTGGATCACACTTGAGTTTCAATATTTGGTTCTTCAGAAAGATCGTCCGCCATGGTCTTTTATGTCTTATCCACTCGATTGAGTCGAGTTTTTCCTCCCACCCTGGGAGAGTTGATGAGGACATCACCTATTTTGGGCTTTTACTTGAGTGTTATTTATTTCATGTTTTATTAGTTTAATTGGGCTATATTTATGGGATGGCCCAATGCCCTTTTATGTTTTGGAATTTATATATGTATGCAGCCTTTATGTAAGAGATAGAATTGATGGAAATGAATTGAAGTGTTGCAGAAGTTTTCTCCTTTTCCACCGCCCTTTCTTCTCTTCTCTCTCCCTTCTCTCCTTATCTTTCTCCCTAGTTGTTTCTTTACTGTGTGTATTCTGCTGCTTCTGCTAGTTCATTCAATCCTACATCAAATCAATATCTTGATCGAAAGGGCTACATATTGCCAAAATCCTCAGCCTATAGAGCTGCTAGTCGAGACCACCACTTTCCTCAAGAGAATCGCTGGATGAATCTGCTAGAATTTAACTCCCATTCATCAAAATAATAGCTCGTGTGGCAAATTGAGGAAGAATTGTGAAGCCCCAACCAAGGGACAATGCAATTGGAATGGTATATATGGTATCATAGAAGTTCATTTTGCTTCAATTCCTAACTTAAGTTCTTCTTTGCAAGTTGAGCATTCTGAACTGGTAGCTAAATGGGGTGGCTCAATTTTTAGTCCAAACAATGCTTGTATGCAATTTGCACCTAGTTGATCTTACTTAGTGGAGGGAGAGGTTGGAGGTAGTAGTGGCGGCGACGATGGCGATGCCTTTTTTTGGGGGTAGGTGGTGTACGTGGAGAAGAATGTGAACAGTACCTTTTTTCTAATTAGGACCCCAGTCACCAATTTCCCTAAATAAAGTGCCAAATATTATAAGAAAAAAGAATTAATTCATTTGTACAATTGTGGTTGACAATGATGGATACCAACATTGATGTTATCAAAACTTGGACCATTAATTTTAAAAACAGTGTTTGAAATAGATGAATGTGATATTGTCAAGTATGATTGTCAAACAAAATTGTAAAAAAAAAATATTGTACAAGTATCATGATTGTAAATATTTTGTACAATTAGGACGTTTTGTGCTATTTACCCTAAAATAAAGATAGATACAATAATAACTATGGTGAAGAAAAGATCTCACAAGCATTTGAAGGATCGATTAATTGAAGAAGACATATAGAAACATTAGCAATCCTGTTGGACAGCTCGCAGCATCCCTGCATGTTGAATGACAAGTGAGACTTTAGTCGAGCTCCAGCCATCACATTGTGCAGTGGATATCCTATGTTCCAAGTCTCGAAAATTTCATTGAAATCATTGATCCTTGGCACAAGATGACAAGCTACTCAAGATGTAATTGTTATATCGACTGATATTGGGTAGGCTTGCGGAGGAACATAGCTCGACAAATTATATGACAAACAAAGGAAAAAAGGAAAGATATTAAACATGAAAACATAATTAGAATTAGCAAACTAGGTTACAAGAAGGCCATACATATAGCTAACTGTTAAGGTTTAACACCTACTTTTAGACAAAACATTGACCCTCCTCTAAACCTAAATTTACTATAGAATCTTTCTAAAATTTTTGATTTATCTTCCCTTTTTCGACAAGAAAATGAACTCTAGGAGGCTTTACTAAATTCTTTAATTGTTAGGTAATAGAGAACGACTGACACGTTAGAAGTTTATCAAATGCAGTTCAATCACATGGAAAGCAACAAGTAAATTGCTAAAAAAACTATACTAACCCATGACATTAATTATTCTGGAAAGTCAAAAACTACGTTAAAGATTTATTCGGAGTTTTGTGTATTTCTTGCTAAAATTTTATTAAAATGGTCATTCATACAAATCTTCTAAAAAGTGATCATTTTTTTATAAAGGACACGGGGTGCAATTTTCATTAAAATTAACTTAGATTATGGAATGTTTGAACCACATTATTTTGATAATAATGCATTCTTAAATAGTGTATTGATATGAAATGTGTGATTAAAAAATAAGGAAAAGTTATAAAAAGTAAATAACAAAGGCTGACACAGAGTTTTTGTAAAGAAACACGAATTAACGCTCAGGATTGCCCCATCAAAATTACAAGCGGGTCCTGGCCGTCAGGCTTCATCCCGGTGATCGTTGATCGTGTACCCAAGGGGAACCGGCCGTCATGATTCCACTTATAAGCAGAAAAAAAATATTCGATGTCCTCACTGTGTCCGTTGTAGTGCCGTATTCACTATTCAACCTTCCAATTCTCTGTCAAAAAATAAATCGTGAATCTAGATAATGGCAAAGGAGATTCTACGCTTCGTGTTGAACACCGGAGCAAAAATTCCCTCAGTCGGCCTTGGCACGTGGCAGGCGGACCCTGGTGTTGTCGGTCGTGCTGTTGAAACCGCCATCAAGGTCGCCGATCGCCACTCTCTCTACCTACATTTGTACATCATTTATGCATATGCGTATCTTCGTGTGCTGAATGTATAATGAGATTATTTAGGGCATTTAGGAGGATTTAGCGTTGTGCGGATTTAAAAATTTTAAGTTTAATTTAGAAAATGTTTTGGGGTTTGGTTCCACTCCAATTTCAGTGATTTGTTTGAAAAAAAGGGGCACAAAAATGGAATGGGAGGATGTTGGTCCAAAATTTGTTATAATATAGTGGCTTGTAAACTTCCGGTGCTAATTACTGGTAAACTGCTGGAGCTTAGGAGTGGAATACATGCCTTATATATGAAGTCCTGTTGCAGAAGTCCTTATGTTCAATATTGGTTGCAGCGTTTATACTTTTGGTTATGTTATCAGTTCTTCTCTGTGGCTAACCATTGCATTAACTCAGAGCAACGACAATGCTGACTATTATGAGTTTGTTATAGCATTTTCTGGTGATTATTGAATTATATTGAGAATGAATAATGAAGCAAGAAAATATGAGAGTTGACATCTTAACGTGTATGGAATTGGTCCGCTTAAGTTTGATATCACTTGCAGTTAATGCAGATAGTATTTTCATCTCATACATGAGCAGATGAAATTTAATGGAAAAATATTTTCATCTTGTACCGTAAAATGATGTGCACATTCTTAGATTTCTAGCTTGACAGTGAGAAAAATTGTCTTTCTATAATTGTCTATCAATCCCTGCTACTTTTATGCAGATTGGATACCGCCATATTGACTGTGCTCGATCCTATAGAAATGAGAAGGAGGTATTTTTTTCTTTACATCGCTGTTGTGAAGGCACAAGATCCCTTTTTCTTTACTATGCCCTTGTTTTATGTAACTTTAAAAATGATAAAAATCTAAGCCAAAATCAACAACCAATTTTAACTACACATTTTATGGGATTCACAATTTTTATCAACTTTCCAACTACGCATATCATAACTTTTGTCAAAATCAACTAAAAATCTGATATTTAGCTACGACAAAAAGGGGCTATATATGTGTATGTGAGACTCATCTTCTGTTCTTCTTTGCAGATAGGTTCAGTTTTAAAGAAGCTGTTTGATGATGGAGTTGTGAAGAGGGAGGATTTATTTGTTACCTCCAAACTCTGGTAATCAAATTTTGTTCACAAATATATTCAAAATGTGATCAGGTTCTGAATTCATTTGGGAGAATTCAAAACTCCAATGTGATAGTTAATATTTGAAGATGATTATTTGCTATGTAAAGCTGGTTGATGAAACTTGTCAGTGTGAGTTACTTTAATTTTGAAGTGTGAAACAAGAACATCTTCCATTATATGGGGCAAGAACTAGTTTTCCATTATAATGGATGTAAATTATGCTATGGTACTGTCGTCTTTGTAATTTGTGCACGTTTCGTTACAAAATACTCTTTATGCCTTTGCTGCTTCACCTTCTTTTTGGGTTTGATCCAAAGCTAGTCTTGAGGTTCTCGAACGTTGTAGTTCTTATACTAATCACTTCATCTTACTCTTCTCTTTCACATCCGGTCTTTATTGACTGACTTTTTAAGCATTCAACCTAGAACTGATCTCTTAACTTCTGCAGGTGTTCTGATCATGCACCAGAAGATGTACCCATGGCATTAGATAAAACATTGGAAGATTTGAAACTTGACTATCTTGATTTGTATCTTGTACGTAAATTTTCGTGATATTAACCTTTTATTAAAATTTTGACAATTTAAAAGTTAACGCAAGATGACCTTATAAGAAGACAGTATGCATGAATTCGTAGATCTAGAATAACACAGAATCAGCTTGATCCATAGACATCTTTCTTTTCTTTTCTTTGAGAGGGATATTTTGCATCTTTACTGTTGGAAAAATTATATCATGGGCTAATGAATGGACCTGTCTAATTGTGAAGATCCATTGGCCTGCCCGGTTGAGGAAGGGGGCTGTTGGCATTAATCCAGAAGACTTTGTTCCAGTTGATATACCTACCACATGGAAGGCCATGGAAGCACTCTACGACTCTAGTAAGGCCCGAGCTATTGGAATTTGCAATATATCCACCAAAAAGCTTGGTGATCTATTGGATGTAGCTCGCATTCCTCCGGCTGTCGTCCAAGTTGAGTGCCATCCGGTGTGGCAGCAGACCAAACTACGAGAATTCTGTAAATCAAAGGGAGTTCACCTCTCTGTGAGTTGGCAAAACTCGGTTACTTAACATTACACAATGATCCTTTGGTTCATGTCTCTAAGAATGAGGAAACTTCTTTTGGTCTTCTCTCTCTTTGTGGTGGTGGGGGTAGTTATATTTCAATTTGATAATCATAATTGCTTGGCTCACCATTAAAAGTTTAAATCTGAGAACGGTTTTTACCTTTGATTTTTTTTGCATTTTAATCAACGTGTTAATTTTCTTAAAAGGGATATTCACCACTTGGTTCGCCTGGAACGGTGATGTACAAGACCAATGTTCTCAAGCATCCTGTTATAGTCACTACCGCAGAAAAATTGGGTAAAACTCCTGCTCAGGTTGCTCTTCGATGGGGTTTGCAGATGGGTCATAGTGTACTTCCCAAGAGCACAAATGAATCAAGGATCAAAGAGAACTTTGATGTTTTTGATTGGTCTATACCTGATGACTTGTTTGCCAAGTTCTCCAAAATTGATCAGGCAAGTTATTTCCATTTCATTACATTAAATCCCTTTGAGATTTTATGGGTGTATTTCTTCTCGAGGGAAGTTCTGAGTAGTGCAACAATCTATTTTGTGAATACAGCTGAGAAGAGTTAGATATTAGATGAATAGTACTCACTAGCAATTTTTTGATTCGTCCCCATCATGTGAATCCCATACAGTTGTTGTCATTAAATATTAGTACTACAACTTATAGGTCATACTTGTGAGGCATGTTTCGTAGGCAGTATTAGATCAAACTGGACATTAATAGATAAGATTTAATTCATTTCCCATACATGCCTACATGCATGCAGCATCACCAACAATAAAGATTTTGATGTTAAAATTTTTGCCAAGTTGCTTCACATCTACACCGTTTTTTACACAGCGAACAAAATTTGATTTTAAGAACTTTGGCATTTTCTTTCCACAGCTCGTAAGAAATGCGTTTTTCTATGCTGGCAGGAAAGACAAGTTACAGGTAATTTTTTTGTCCACGAGAAGTTCGGCTCATACAGAACCGTCGAAGATATATGGGATGGTGACATTTGAGCTGGCTTTGCAAGCATAGATGTTCTGGTAACTTATGATTTCTAGTTAATGTGTGTAATTTCATACTGGAAAAAATGTTTCCTGTTAATCATGCTTCCATCGAAAGTTTGAAGTTTGTCCTGATGCTGAAGGAGTTTAAAGTTTGAACTATTTTGAGAAATTTCATTCATTCTATGGTGCCAAAGTCATATATATATATATATATGTTTATTTTTATTTTTTTTATGACCATGGGTGTCCGGGTTAGTTTACGCGCATTTCGACTAATTTCACGGGGCCTTAAAGTTTATAGTTGGGTACTTACCTCATTGACCTTGAGGGGACTCGAACTAGTATTCATTGAGGAGCAAACCCAAGATCTGATCACTGAGTTATCCTTAGGATTGATCCTGTGTGCTACGATATAGTGCCCATGAAGTACAATCATGGTATTTTGATTATGGTAGATGATGATGAGCATATAAGCTTTATGACCATTTAAAACATTCTTCACATTTATTCTTTCATCAATTTCATAAGTTCAATCTTATTAGATTGATTTACCTAAAATGTCCTTGCACAGAAAAAGAATTAGCCCCTGTTTGGCCCCCATTACGGGGAAAATTTAATGTATAGAATAGTGTTTTTTGAAAAATGAGTGGTTGAAAAAGAAAGAAAAATTTTCGATTTACGTGTAATATTATTTTATGGAAGATTGTGTGATTGAAAATAGGAGAGAGAAAAATAGAATGTAATGTAATGTAATGAAAATCAAACAGGGAAAATTAGGATTATTTTATTTGAATGATATGGTGACTCGTAGTTAAACAAAAATTCAGAAAATTGATTTATCATAAAACTTGGAATGAAATTTATATAAAATTTCTATTTCTAATAATGTATATTGTGTCGGATAGAGAGTGGTAAACAGAGAGTTTGCAAATGGACATTTTGTAGTTGACTTACGTCAATGTAGCGATTTTTACAAACTACTAGTCTTTGTTATGTGCGTTGTACGGATGTTGTATTTATTGTGTTTTTATTAGTGTAAAAATTGTAGATGTTAAAAAAAATGTTTAAGATTTATTTCATTATTCAAGAGTTTTAGAAGCATATTATTACTTCGCCAATGCTCTATCTTAAAAATCCCTATGCATAGACTTATGTTGCGGTTAGTTAAATAAACCTAAAGTGAAGAATGCTTATACTATCTCAAAATTACTATCTTCTAAACCAAAAATTAAAAACTATCTAGTATATGTGTTTGATTAATTTAGACAAATGTGTGAGAAAAGCTGAATGTATTAGTAATGTCATTATTTCTTAATTGAGTAGTATGGAATTCTTAAGATGTTGACAAAAAAACACTTGCACTAAGTTAAGGAAAATATTGGAGGCATGCATAAATTGTTCTATTCAATTCAATAATCTATCCTTTGCCATTCATCAACTTTCTAAACAATGGGACCCATTTTTTCTATTAAACTTTCATCGGATGCATCTCAAAAGAAATTCTAAACAATGACTCATCAATTGTATATAGATTATATAAATATAATTCCAGTTGAGCACTGATTAGTCCAATGATTTTTAGCAAAATCAATGAAAAGGCCGAACTCAATCGATCAAAAATACAGCTTGCAAGAAATCATCACAACCAACAAAACTTGAAAATGAAACAAGTGGTCTAATATAATTTTTGCTTAATTGTAAGTTAGTTGCTTGGGGATGAATCCAAGAATATATGAAAAAACCTTTTAATAGATTAGTTTTCAATTGCAAGTTAGTTGCATGGGAGTATGAGATATGTTTGTAAAAGAGTTGAACAAATGCGGATGTTGGAACTTTTTACTCAGTTATTGCAACAACATATTCAACACTGACATCATATTCGACAATGAAAAGGTAATTTTAGAAGGCAATTATGTTATGTCACTCATCCATAGTAAAATATTGTAAAGACACACATTAACCTATTGAATCTCCCTGAGAAAGGAATTCTTATAATAATTGAATTAAATGAAAAACATAATGCACGTGGACAAGAAATGAAATAGAAGCATCCACTTTGCGAAGCATTAAATATCAAGTTTACTTCATTTAGTATACCATTTACTCACTTTTTTGTTCACTTCTTTATACTTTTAATTGAAAAAATTGCTATCAATAGTCATTCAATGAAATAATAAGGTACTTTGAAACAAAAAATCAAATAACTTTCATCTTCTATATACTAACTGCAGTAATTCATTCTTGCTAATACATGATATCAAAATAGCAATGTAAATTTAATTAACCGATAATTGTTCAGCATGCTTGCCTTGGGAAGCAAAAAATTTTAACCGTATTGATGCAACTTTTCCATATTCCTCATAAAGGATATAGTCAGTCCAGAAAATAAACAAGTACTCCGCAGTTATATGGATGAAAAACTTGATATTCACCCATAACAAAGAAACTTAAAGGCATTGCAGATGATTAATAAAATGCAATTTAAAAAATATATTTTTACAACTCAAAAATCTAAGGCATGTGATGTGAAAGGTCTTTCAGCAAAACTATTCATCCATTTATCTGTAAAAATAAATTCTCAAGAGTGAAAATATCTTGTCTTCCAAGTGAAGGACCACATGTAACATTGGATAAACAAAAGTAGAAAATCTTGTAGGTGAAAGTACCAAAAAAAAAAAAAAATGAAAACAAAAGATTAGAAGAAGAGGTGTGGAGGTAGGATAAGAAAGATTAAAAAATAGCAGAAAAATGAAAAGAAAAGTCAAAGTATATAAGAAATCTATCATTAAAAACAGAAAAATTACATTAGTAAAGGAATATACATCTAGCAACCACGAAACTGTAAGATGCCAAAAACTCAAGTTTAACATTTAGGAAATTTATTAAATTTATTACGACAAATGTAAAAAGAGCACGATAAAATTTCCAAATTTTAATTACATAATAATCAATGAAAACTAAAGATCCAACAAAAGGCATTTTCTACCATGAAACCGTAAAAGTTTTAAAAAAAAATTAGGTCAAAACCTTTTCTTGGATCTAAGAAATCGAAGATCCACTACTTCATCTGCCATAGACACCTGAAGTATAGTAAAACTATCAATACATGGCATTTTGAGAGATAAAATATGAATTGAGCAAAAAATTTACAATTTGGGTGAGAGAGAGGAGTTTGAGAGAAAAAGAAATGGGTTGAAAATTGGAGGAGAAAAGAAAGATAAATGGATGTTATGTAAACGGGTAGAAAAAATAGATGTTGCGTCAAGAAGTAAAGAAAAATAGATATTGTGTAAAGAAATGAAGAAATGTAGGGAAAGAGAGAGAGAGAGAGTGGGAAAAAAAAGAAAAAAGAAGAAAAAAAATTACCGATAAAAAAAAATCTCTCCGCATCTCTCTGTACAGTGTAGAGAGCTTTTTTTCCTGCTCATAGCAGTTTATATTAATAGTATTGGCTAAAGAAATGGAGAAAAGTGGGGAAAGCGAGAGAGAGTATGAAAAAAAATTACTGAAAAAAATAAAATCTCTCCGCACTATGTGGAGAGTGCGCTCCAACTCTCCACACTGTGCGGAGTGATGGAAAAATGGCTCCGCACTCTCCGTACTATGCGGAGAGGTGGAGAGATGATCTCCCCACAGTGTGAAGAGTATTTATTTATTTGCTTATGAAAGTTTATATATATTAAATTTATTTTTTTAATGGTGATCGCACGATGCGTGTGGAAGAACATTCATAAACAAAATTCTTTACCTCATTGTCGTTTTTATTTTTGCTCATGGCAATTTACATATACTATGTTGAAGAAGTAGAGAAAAATAAATATTGCCCAAAAAATAGAGAAAAGTAGGGAGAGCGAGAGAGAGTGAAAAAAAAAAGAAAAAAAATTTATCGAGAAAAGAGAAAGAAAATCTCTTGCACTGTGCGGAGTGTTAGAGACCAACTCTCCGCACTGTGTGAAGAGTTTTTTTTTTGTGCTCATGACAGTTTATATATACTATGTCGAAGAAGTAAGGAAAAATAGATATTGCCTAAAAATGAAGAAAAGTAGGGAGAGCGAGAGAGAGAGTGGAGAAAAAAAATGAAGAAAAAATTACCAAAAAAAAAAAAAAAAAAAAAAAGTAGGGAAAGAGAGAGAGAGAGTGGAAAAAAAAAAAAAAAGTAGGGAAAGAGAGAGAGAGAGTGGAAAAAAAAAAAAAAAGTAGGGAAAGAGAGAGAGAGAGTGGAAAAAAAAAAAAAAAGTAGGGAAAGAGAGAGAGAGAGTGGAAAAAAAAAAAAAAAGTAGGGAAAGAGAGAGAGAGAGTGGAAAAAAAAAAAAAAAGTAGGGAAAGAGAGAGAGAGAGTGGAGAAAAAAAATGAAGAAAAGTAGGGAGAGCGAGAGAGAGAGTGGAGAAAAAAAATGAAGAAAAAATTACCAAAAAAAAAAAAAAGAAAGAAAATCTTTGAGCACTATGCGGAGTGTGGAGCCATCTCTCCGCACTATGCGGAGAGTTGGAGATCACTCCGCAGTGCGGAGAGGTAGTCTCCAACTCTAGGCACTATGCGGAGTTTTTTTTTCCTCATTACAGTTTATATATATTAAAATTATTTTTTTAATGGTGATGACACGATGCGTGTGGGAAAAATATTTGTCAGATCACCATAAACAAAATTCTTCAGAAAATGCGAAAATGAAAAATGACATCAAGAACAGTAAAATTGAACTAATTTACTATTGCATCTACAGTAGTCCCTCACTACCATTTTTATAAGAAGTTAGAAATGTTAGACCAAATTTACATGTTAGACCAATTTAAAACACAGTTATAGTTCAAACAATTTACGACAAGAAAATATTCTATTACCAGTTGGTTATGCTCAATTTTAACTACTTGCTTCTTACAAATGCTATCAAGCTCCCTCTTTCTCCAAGGCCAGAGGTAAATCATTCTCTGTATCCTATTAATAAGGATAAAATTCATTAAGTTTAATGATTAGGATATAACCCATGTTTTTGTCATAAAGTTTTACTTGACAATCTAAAATAGGCTACTAACTTGTTTCAATCCAAAAATAGCTAAATAAAAATTGATTTGATAAGAAGTAAATAAATAATACTTACGACAGCCTTGTCTCGCTCTTGCCTGGTGACACCGAAATGGTGGACAACATAGAGACAAAATGACCCATTGAGTCCATAAACCAGCATATAATCAAAAATAAAATTATTGTCCACAAGGTCCGACCAATTTAACTAACATTAAGCCTTCACAAAGGAACCATTTTCAATACCTTTTAGTCAAATAAACTCCAAAGACAACACAATAGTAAATGATAAAATATATATTTATAATTACCCTTATTCAAATAGTAATTCCTGACCAGTAAACAATTGAAATTGTCAACCACAATAGGAATACAGAGAAAAAACATTTTTTCTTCAACTTATTTCCCAATTACCACTATAAACATAGTCAAATCGAGGCTACAGAATTAGGAAAATGAGTATGAACCTAAAAGTCTATTAAACCTAAAATAAATATGGCCTCACCGAAAGAAACTAACAAAATCTGCAATGCAAATGAATAACATTTCATTAGCAACATTGACCATAAAAAAATCCCAAAAAGGGGAGGTAAAGATAGAAGATACATCAGTAATTAACAGTTTAAAAATACCTCGTCTTATGATTTGCTAACTAACATACAATGAAGCACAGATTTGGAGGGCAACTTTGATACGATCTTAGATATGAGTTTTCACACTATATGCTTATTTGTGGCTGTAAATTTGGTGCTTCAATAAATTACTAAAGTTTAAACACATTTAAAAAGTCTAATGTATGTGATATATAATTTAAGCGCTCATTCTACTATCAATATGGGCGTTTCTAATTTAATTCTCATCATAAAAGTAATCTATGCCATGTATAGTAGAGAAAGCAAGTGATTAACTCAATTTTGTTAGCATAGTGAAATGAAGGCCCTTCCAATGGAGCAAAAAATTTATACTCTCCCAACACTTTTTGAACTAAAACATATAGTGTTACTTTATTGAATTCCTCAACAGATGTGAAAGCCAAAGCATTATTAAGTCCAGACTTCACATCAATGTAAAGGGCATTTAGCAATCAATGTTCCAGTTTTAAGTTGAAAAGAAACATGTTGATTAGTCTCAGAAAACGTTCATATAAAGATAATAGAGAGCACATAACAGTCAAGTGTATGCATGGAACCACCTTTACAAAAACAAGAGAAACCGGATGACAGGCAACAAATACAGTACGATAAGCACAGCTAGTCGAAGCTTTCGGAAATAGAAAAATACAAACCTCAATCAACCGTATAAGACTATGTATACGTAATAGTCTAGTTCAGTACATTTGATTAGCCAAGAAGATGATTAAGAACGTGCCCGATGAATAGCAGTACCCCAGTAATTTCATCAGAGAAGTCGAATTTTTTGTTTTTGCGTGTCATCAGAGAAGTCAATTTTTTTGCTTTAAGAAGAAGTCGAACCATTTTTATTCATCATCAGAGAAGATATTTAACATTAAGTTCAAGTTAATTGCAACTTAATAACCAAGATTTGTTGAATAGCCAAGATCAAACTCAATTCCATTGAAACTTGGAAAATTCATACAATGAACAAATCGTTCTCTGAGAAATACTGACTCGGACCAAACAAGTTTGTCAATGGAATTCCAAAATCTATATTTAATTCAAGCTCAAATTCCTCTGGCTAAACTTGCTTGTGTTTATTTACATAATAACGTGTTTGGGAGTGTTTTTAAACAGTTCAAATTACAAATGGATAGAAATGAGTGGTTCCTCAAAATGTGTAAATAAAAAGAGTGTTGACAAACAATTTATAGAAACGAGCAAAAGTAGTTTAACTAATTGAACTAAATTCATTTTTCATTGGTAATACTGGACATCCACTCTAGCTTTCCCTTAACAAAATTAAAAAAAAATGGATAAAACAACCAATTGCAATAAATTTTAAGTTCAACAATCCTATTGGAAGAAATAGCTTTCCCATTAACCAAACTAATAAAAATGGATGAAATGGACCACTTGTAATAATTTTTGAAATTAGTTTTGAAAATTTCGTTGCCTATTTTGCCCAAAAGTAATCATATTAATTGTGTCAAAGCCATCAAATTGAATTCAGAAACATACACAATAGAGTCTCGATTAAAAAAAATGAAATTTGAAAGCACACAAACCACCTCTTGACACCAATAATAAGCAAAAAATTTACAAGGAAACATTCAAACCTTGATCAACGATAAACAAGTTAATGAGTTTTATAATTGAAAATAGAAATTAAACTAACCTCAGTTTGAAAATCAACAGAATTAGAAGCTGCCTTATAAACTTTATCTACAATTTCTTTAAAACAGGGCTTCAAGCTGAGACTCTATATCCAAACCCCATTAGCGAATGACAAGCGAGGCTTACCAAGGGGGCCACCGTCAACAAAAATTAGAGTTACAAACTGAGAGTCAATCACCAATTTCTGGGCAAAATTTCCACTTTTTTGGGGAGGTTTCGTTAACCTTGGAACAAAGATAAAGAGAAAAAGATCAAACACAAAAAATACAGGTTGAATGAAATGGAACAACCATAAACAAAAAGAGGAGTATGAAGATTTCAAGATAACTTCAAAATATCACCCTTTTGAAGCACATTTTAATCATAATATGTAAAGAAACCAAGCTCAATCTAAAACCCAATTTATAACCAAATTATACAAAATCTGAAGCTTATATTTAAGGCAACACCTGCCAAAGGATTTTTGCTTTGATTTGGGTTGGATCTCTTAAAAGACCGAAAACAAAATGGGGAAAAATCGATCATTCAACAATACAACTTAAAAACCAGAAGAAACATACATAAGAGTAAGAAATTGAAGTCGTGAGAGGTATACTTACCGATATATGTATCAATTTCTGCAAATTGTTTGTATTTTTTCCTACCATCGGGAGAGAGAGATTAGGGTTAAAGCAAGAGAAATAAAATAAAATAAAAAAAGAAAGAAGAAGAAGCAAAACTGTAGGAAGAGCACCTCAGAAAAGTAATAAAAATGAAATCCTATTTTGCACCTCCAGTGTTCAACTACTTCTTTGGCTATTGTCGCTCCAATAACCACAAGAAAATGCGTGAGAATACTGATTGTTGTGTAGGCTTTGATTTTTTGTGTGAAAAATGGGTTGCTTGTAGTCTCTGATTTTTGTGTGAAAAATAGAAAAACTGAAGATTGTAGGTAGGAGAAAGAGAAATGGAAATGATGATTGCGTGTTGAAATTGAAATAATTTTGAAACTGTTAAAATGGGGATAGGATGAAAGAATAGGATTCAACACTAATGTAGATATTGCATCTCCAGATATTAGAAAAGGCATGACCATAACGTATGAAAATGGAGAATGGAAAAGTTAAAAAAAAAAAAAATGACGCCATTTTTTCTCTTGTATAGTAACTTGGGATTTGTTTACTATTCCTTCTACAGTAATAACTACTTCCCATTTTTAAGAGAAGTTAGATACATAAATTTATATTTTCTCCTGTTTTGTTTTTCTTCTGACTACAAATATTTTTTTCTAAAATTCCCAACAAGAATTCGATAGTTCTTTGCTACACCTTCCATTCTACTTCTCATCATCTGTTTGAATTAATTTGAATTTTAGTTTAAGTGTGTGAATTCATATAAGTGAATAATATTTTGATATAAATGAGAGGAAAATAATAATAATAATAATAATTTAACTAAAAAGCAAGAGAGAGGAACAAAAAATTAAGCCCTGATACTCATTTTCATAAGAATGAGAATGAAAAATATAATTTTTACGGGACCCACACAAGAGAGGAAGTCAAATATGATGACTTGATGTGATATATAACGATTATATTTTTCATTTTTTTTTTACCAAAGAATGAAAAACAAACAGGACCTAAAATTATAATTCAAAGATATGTGTCATTATTTGAGCTGATGATTTAATAATAAAAAAAATTAAAATAAATATTAATTATGACGTAATAGTCAAGTTCATTCATTCATTTTTATTTATTTATTAATGCAAAGGGGCTGCAATAGTATCACAATATATTATTTAAGATTTTAGCTTGTTAGTGGAGGCAACATAATTAAAAAAAATTAATGTCTCAAATAATAAGTTGTTATGTAAGTCGTTGCCTATAATTGAGCATTATTCATTTTTTTTTTTTATCCAACAATAATGTTCTAAAGGATACGTCAAAGCATTTGCTTAATTTGAGCCCAATTTTTATGGAAGATTGCATTTTAAAATAATAAATTGATGAAAATTGTGTGGTTAAAAAAAATGAAAATTGGATTTGAGCATGATGTTAGTCTATTAAAAAATGTGTTGCTGAAAAGAATAAAGGGGAAAATATATTTTAAAAATGTTGGGACATCAAAGTCTTTATTTCCTGTGCAGGCGACCTCACTGTAGCCTCTGGTGGGCTTCCCCGTCTGCTGAACCTGAATTCATTCACTTTCCTTTTCAATTTTTTCTTTTAATTTACAAATTAATGGCTTTCCACATTTATCCTTTACTTATGGACCTTAACTCGCCACTCTCTTCCGCCTCACTGTACCCTCCCAGACGCCTTCCCACATGGGCCACACCCAATCACCTCCTCTGCTCTAATAATAACAATTCCACGGTAAGTAGCAGATATACTTTTCTTTGACAACTGTATTTGAAATTAAAACCCTAATTTTATGTTTATTTGTTGACATGTTTTGATGTATGTGATAGATTTTGGGTGTGAATAGTGGGAAACGAAAATGTGTTTCTGTGAGGGTCCAAACGATGGAGAGGAGAGCCATGCCAGAAGGCAAAATGTCGGTCAGTACAATTTTAATTAAAAATGTACTGATTTGTTGATCGCTGAATTGAATGTTATTTATTGGTTGAGGTAATAACAACTTCATTGGATTGAATATTTTTAATTTTTTAGGTGTTTGTGTCACCGCATCCTTTATTCAGCATTCAACCTTTCAATTTCTCTATCTAAAAAAATGTGAATGTAGATAATGGCGAAGGAGATTACATGCTTCGAGTTTGAGTTGAACACCAGAGCAAAAATTCCCTCTGTCGGCCTGGGCACTTGGCAGTCCGAGCCTGGTATCGTCGGTCAAGCGGTTGAAAAAGCCATCAAGGTCGCCTATCGCCATTCTCTCTACATACATATGCACATTGTATATGCTTATATGTATCTTAGCCTCTGTTTGTCATCCATTCTCTCCCATTCTTTTTTCTATTTTACTCATTTTCAACCACATATTCTTCATTAAAATAATATTATGTGTAAATCAAAAACTTTTCATTCTTTTTTAATCACATATTTCAACATCAATCACTATTCTATAATACATTCTTCCCAAATAATGGGTGACAAACACACCCTTAGTGTGTTGTAACATTTATCTTCAATGGAACTTGTATGTGGAAATGTACAATTGTGTGTGTTATTTATGTATTTACTCATATTGAAATGTCGGATGTATTATTTTATGATTCTGAATGTATAATGAGATTATTAGCTCATTTAGAGTTGTGCAGATTCAGAAATTTTTAGCCTAAATTTCAAAAATGTTAATGGGATTTGGTTCCATTCTAATTTCAGTGATTGATTGAACAGAAAAATATAACATAACATAAGAACGGGAATTGGAGAGGATGTCTTTCTGTATTTGTATGACAACTTACAGTCAATCAATTTCTGGTACTTTTATGCAGGTTGGATACCGCCATATTGACTGTGCTCGATCTTATGGAAATGAAAATGAGGTATGTTTTTCTGTCCATCGCCATTACAGAGTCGGGAGATCCCTTTTTATTTTATGTAGGGATGCAATAATAAGCTGTGTATGTGTTTTTACGGCTTTCTCTTCTCTTGAAAGAAAAATGTAAGTCATTTGGGGTAGTGATTTGGTTACTTCACTGGGAGACTGATGTGATAAAGGTCTCTAATAGCTGAAAGTTTTTGCACAACAGTATCATGGAGATAACGAGGCTTTCGTCCCATTTTGTTTCAAGGGAAAAGGGATATTTGGGGTGAAAATGGGACTCCAAATTACATGTAGTATGGCTATCTATATGTGTGTGAGACTCATCTTCTGTTCCTTTGTTGCAGATAGGTTTAGTTTTAAAGAAGCTGTTTGATGATGAAGTTGTGAAGAGGGAGGATTTATTTATTACCTCCAAACTCTGGTAATTGAATTATGTTCACAAATATTTTCAAGAAGTGAAAAGCTGATTGATGAAACTTGTCAATGTGAGTTACTTCAATTTTGAAGTTTGAATCTAGAACATCTTCCAATGTAAATGGGGCAGTTTTCCACCATAATGGATGTGCATTATGCAGTGGTACTGTCAGTTATGTAATTTGTGTGCGTTATATATATACAAAATACTTTCTTTGCACTTGCTGCTTCACTTTCCTTTTTGGTTTGATGCAAAGCTAGTCTTGAGGTGCTTGAACATTATATATTAATTGCTTCAATTACTCTTCTCTTTCACATCTGGTCTTTACTCATTGACATTTTAAGCATTCAAGCTAGAACAGATCTCTTAACTTGTGCAGGTGTACTGATCATGCACCAGAAGATGTACCTGTGGCATTAGATAAAACATTGGAAGATCTGCAACTTGACTATCTTGATTTGTATCTTGTACGTAATTTTTCGTGATATTGAATTTTTGACTGTTTAAAAGTTAATGCAAGATGGCCTTATATGAAGACAGTGTATGAATGGAAATAACTGAATCAAGTGAATTCTTAGATCTACAGTAACACAAAATCAGCTTGATCAATAGAGGTGACCTTGATGCCATGTCAAATTTTAAAAACATTAAAGCTGCTTTAACTATTGGTCTGCTTACCTGGCTTTCAAAGTTGAAATGATATGTAATAGTGGCGTGATTAGCTCTCTCTCCTATCTTTGGGTGGGATATTTTGCATCTTTACTGTTGAAAAATTATATCATGGGCTAATGAATTTGATCTGTCTAATTGTGAAGATCCATTGGCCTGCTCGGTTGAGGAAGGGGGCTGTTGGCATGAATCCAGAAGACTTTGTTCCAGTGGATATACCTACCACATGGAAGGTCATGGAAGCACTCTATGATTCTGGTAAGGCCCGAGCTATTGGCATTTGCAATGTCTCTACCAAAAAGCTGGGTGATCTATTGGATTTAGCTCGCATTCCTCCGTCTGTTGTCCAAGTTGAGTGCCATCCGGTGTGGCAGCAGACCAAACTACAAGAATTCTGTAAATCAAAGGGAGTTCACCTCACTGTGAGTTGTCAAAACTCAGTTACTTAATTCGGGTTGCTGCCTTTTGTTCATGTCTTTAAGAATGAGGAAACTTCTTTTGGTTGTCTCTCTCTTTCTGGTGGTTTTCGATAATTATAATTGCTCGGTTTTCCATTAAATGTTTATGTCAGAGAAAGGTTTTATGTTTTGAATTCTAATTAACCTGTTAATTTTCTTAAAAGGGATATTCACCACTTGGTTCACCTGGAACAGCGATGTACAAGAGTGATGTCCTCAAGCATCCTGTTGTAGTTTCTATTGCAGAAAAATTGGGTAAAAGTCCTGCTCAGGTTGCTCTTCGATGGGGTTTGCAGATGGGTCATAGTGTACTTCCCAAAAGCACAAATGAATCAAGGATCAAAGAGAACTTTGATGTTTTCGATTGGTCTATACCTGATGACTTATTTGCCAACTTCTCCGAAATTGATCAGGTAAGTTATTTTTATTTTTATTAAATCCCTTTGAGATTTCTAAGTGTATATTTCTTCTAACTGGCAGTCGTTAGTAACACAACAATATATTTTGCACATACTGCCGAGAGGAGTTAGATTTTAGATAAAGAGTGCTTCCTAGCAATTTTTTGATTCGTCATCATCACGTGAATCCCCTACAGTTTTTGTCCTTGAATATTCGTATTATAACTAAATAACTAATAAATCATACTTACGAGGCATGTTTGGTCGGCAATGTTGAACTTGATTGGACACTACAATAGATAAGATTTTAATTATTTTTCTTCCTTTCCTAACCAGTATAATTTCATTTGGCAAACATGCCAACATGTATGCAGAATCACCAACAATCAAGATTCTGATGTTAAAAATTTTGTCCAGATGCTACATCTACACCAATTTTTACACAGTAAACAAAGAACTCGGGCTTTTTCTTTCTACGTATCTTAAGGAATGGTTTTTCTACTTTGCAGGAAAGACAGGTTACAGGTAACTTTTTTGTCCATGAAAAGTTCGGCTCATACAGAACCGTTGAAGATATATGGGATGGTGAACTTTGAGCTTGCCGTTTAATTTTACATTTTCAGGAAGGATTGGAAGATATATCTTATTGTCATCATCTATATACAATATTTTGAACTCGAAATAAATTTGGGGTTTCCGATCTGGCTTTATTGCAAGCATTGATGTTCTAACACCCTATGATTTCCACGTGTGTGTAATTTCGTATCAGAAATGCTATGTTTGTTTGTCATGCTGCCTTAGAAGAGTGAAGTTTCTCTTGATGTTGGAGGAGTTTAAACTATTCTGTGAATTTTCATTTATTCCATGCGAAGTTATGCTCGTTTGTGCTAAGATATAGTGCATGTTTGGTATGGATTTTTCTTTCCAAAAAATCAATTTTTTGACAGCTATGTCACTATTTCAGACATTTTTTTATTTCTTCTCTCACATGTAGGATTTACTTTTCTTTCTAACGGTCAAAAAATCAATTTTTCAAAATCACTATCGAACAAGCCCGTAATACCTTCTATGATGAAAACAAAACGTGAAAGAACTTTGAGAACGCAATAATTTGAGATCGTTGAGTTGTCAAATTGCCGATCAAAGATCATTTTTGAGATAAGAACTCTTTGATTTTATTCAATGGATCAGGAAATATATAATTGAAAAATGTATAAAAGTTAGTCGTCAAATATGTAATCATGAAATTTAACCAACTCATCATCTTATAAAACATTATCAAAACATGGGCTCAATGTATCAAGACAAACACCATAACATTGTAGTCTTTGCACTGTTTAAATTTCAATGGAAATTCTACGGGACTATGCCCCTGTTCAGTGTTAATTTTAGATAAAGATTAAATTTTTAGTAAATTTTAATAAATATTGAAAATGTGTGGTTGACTTTAACTTAAATTTTAATTCGATTTTTTAGACAGAATCGAATAGGGGTCATGCCTACTGAATACATATAATTACCTCGCCCTAGAATTAAAATTATAAAGATAGAAATAATATAATAACTAGATTGAATAAAAAGGAAACTCAATTATCAATTCTAATGCGTATGTAGTTTTCAACTGGAAATATTTTATGGTTTTTATTAATATAAATATTCATCATATACAAGTTGACATATTATTAATGTATAATAGTATGTTTGTAATACCATTGAATTTTGAATTGCATCCAAACTTGGGTAAAATATATCGGTTGGGCTACATATATATAATGTTTTATATACACAGTTGTGGATATGATTGGATTAGAATTTCTTAAAAAAAAAAAAAAAAAAAAAAAAAAAAAAAAAAAAAAAAAAAAAACAAAAAAAAAAAAAAAACTTTCCCCCCTT